TCAGCCGGGGGTGTGGGGCTGGGATTATGTGCAGAGCACCGCAGTGGGAGTCAGCATGACCTGGGTTTGAATCCTCATTCTGCTCTTCCCATGGTATGACCGCACGTTGGCTCTCAAAGCCTCAGGCTGCTCATCTGACGGTCAAGATAATAAGTGACCACCTATCTGTGTCACAGCACTGCCGCAGTGCCATCATTTTGAAGAGACTTTTCTACAGCAATACAGCAGGGAGATACCAGCGGTGAACAAGGACATTAAGGACTTAGGCAGGTAGGATCAGAAAGAGGGAGGCAGCTTTTTGAGGGTACAGTCTGTGCACAGTGGCGTGTGTCCATGAAATTGGCTGGCTCATAGCAAGGGTGCGGGGTCACCAAAGGGTGGGGGAGGGATGGGGAGAGCCAGGGCTTTGGGCTCAGATCACATGAGTTGTAGCCAGTTCCACCTGTTGTAGCTACATGACCTTGGGCAACATGCTGACCTCTGTGCTCACTTCCCTCATCTGCACAATGGGGATGAAAACGTGGTGAGCTGGTGCCCTACGTAGTGCCCTTAGCTGACTTTCTGCCCAGCACAGAGTGAATGCTCCATCAGCGGCAACGATTCTGTAGTGGGCACATTTTGAAGCAGGAGGGATGTGGCACAGGCATAAATGGGCTGTTAAAGATGATGGAGGAACATTTTATGCTGTTCAAATACATGAAATAAGTATGACCCCCCCCCCCGGAAGTCACTGGCCCTTTACTGCCCCCACAGTCACACCTTTTCCAGGATGTCACAGAGCTGGACCACACAGTATGAAACCTTTTCAAACTGGCTTCCTTCACATGCTGATGTGCATTTATGTTCCTCCATGTCTTGATAGCTCATTTCTTTTTAGTGATGAGAAATATTCCATTGTATGGATTTACTTCTCAGCACTAAATTTTGTTCTGTTCTTTTCTCCACTCACCTATTGAAGGACATGTTAGTTGCTTCCACATTTTGGCCATTTTGACTAAAGCTGCTATAAACATTGGGGAGCGGGTTTTTATGTAGACATGAGTTTTCACTTATGTGGGTAAATTCAAATGAGTTCTGAATCCTATTATTTCTAACTTTCTGTGTGGTTTTGGTTTAGATGTGTCCTTTGGAGCAGCATATAACTGGAATTTTTTAAAGGCTGCCTGTGGAGAGATAGGTAATGAAGTCAATACAGCAAAATATTCATTATAGAATCTAGGTGGTATGTGTGTGTGTACATACTGTACAATTCTTTCCTTTTTTCTGTATATTTGAAAATTTTTCATAACAACATGTCGGGGGAAAAAGTGAAACAAAATAAAACAAAATCCTCTGGAGTCTCCTGTGAGTAAAATTGTAGCGAGCAGTTCAGAGGAAAGAAGTGGACAAGGCCCCCTGCCTGGACCCTGGGTCTGCCTTGCAGCCAGGGTAAGTCACTTACGCTGTCTTCTGTTTTCCCGCAGCAGGAATCACAACAGCCAGTGGTGTTGTCACAGGTGCGGTGAGAGCTCCCCACTCCACCGAGGCTGGAGACTCCTTCTCAAGGTTCCTTTTCCCACTTGAGAATCAAGGGGAATGTGTTGCGTGGCTGGTCACCAGCAGAGGGCGCGCTTAAAGCAAGCAAGCGCTCAAAGTTTTCAAAACTGGCTTTCCTTTAGGAGTATTTTTTACAAAGATGCAAAACTCAGAGTTAAAGCAAGCCTCCCCATATTGGGCCCAAAATGCCAGGCGTATAAACTTATTGCTGACAGCTGCAGCAGCCCGAGGGCCTCCTTCCCTCTCACCTGGGCCCATCAGCCCCCACTTGTGATCCCACCTCCTGTGCTTTCCAAGGAATTTATTCCACATCGGTGTCTCCTGCTCGACTGCAGAGGATCCTAGCACAGGACCGGAAGAGCACTCCATGTGCACGAGTGAGCTGCTCACCCCCACCCTCCTCGCTATCTCCCGGCTCAAGTGCAGGAGGATTATTATCAACCTATATGGACTGTCACTCATCCGTCGCCAGACCCCGCCCTGAAGCATGGATTGTGCAGCCTGGGCACCAGGTGCTCCTCTGCATTCCCCCCATTATGGGATAAACTGTGTTCCCCAAAGAGATGCGTCGGAGTCCTAACCTCCAGTACCTTAGGATGTGACCTTATTAGGAAATAAGGTTATTGTAGGCGCTATTCCTTAAAATGATGTCATTAGGGTGGGCCCTAATCCAATATGAATGGTGTTGTGGATAAAATGAAATTTCCTGTGGCCAGGATTTTCACCTGGCCCTGGTTGGCTAGCTCACTACACACGTGTGGGCAATGCATCATTATTGACTCTATAAAGAGCCTTGCCCAGTGCTCGGGGTGACGCGGCAGCAGGGCTGCAGGCGAGCAGAGCAGAGGCTGGAGTGATGGCAGTGCCAAGAAGAGAGAGGCCCAGAGGCAGACACCGGCTTGCTGTGTGCAGACTCGCTCTGAGTGAATGAGATTTTAGTGACTGACCTGCCACCGTGGAAATAAAGTTGGGTATAACCCTTTCACCTCAAGAATGTTCTTCTGTCATTTCTTTGGTCACACTGAATCCATAGTGAACTTGTCTGGGGATGAAACCCATTGGCAAGACAGGTGTCCTTATGAAATGAGGAATTTTGGACACAGACGTGTGCATCTGGAGAATTCCGTGTGAAAATGAAGGCACAAATTGGGCTGATACACCTATAAGCCAAGGAACACTAAAGATGGCCAGCATGCCCCAAGAAGCTGGGAGAGGCAATAAAGGCATGAACAGACTCTCCTGTAGAGCCCTCAGAAGGAACCAGTCCCACTGACACCTTGACCTTCTCCAGACTGTGAGGAACCATAAATTTCTGTGGGTCAAGCCCCACAATCTGTGGTAGTCTGTTATGGAAGCCCCAGGAAACTAACAGACCCCTAGCCCTCTTCCCCAAAGAGGGTGTACTTATCACTGTCATCACCCAGGAACAGGCCTTTCCCACCCTTCAAGAAACAGGAATATCCAGGGCTAGCAGCTGTGGCGATGCATAATTCACAGGAGACCCATTTCCAATGGAGGATATGGACGTTTTCTAAGTGCAGCAGGAGCCTAAGTGCAGACAGAACTGCTCAACTGCCTACAGATGGCAGAAACTCCATGGGCATCCTGGGAGCAAGGCCCCTTGTTCCTCTGTCTATCAAAGGAGGATAAAAGCCCAGGTCTACACAGATGTCATGAAGGGAGCTTAAAAGAGACCATCTGCTTGAGGCCCCCAGTGAGAGCCCCACGCCCCAGGGGCCAACAAACGGGCTTGCCTGCTCCCCAGTAGGAGAACATCACAATTTGTATTTCAGCTGCAGCACCTGAGGCAGCCCCACCTCGCCCCACCTCAAGCTGTGGGTGGTGGCACTACCAGACTAACTCAGGTTTGAACGCCGTCCCCTTTGGATTGTAAGTTCAGACGCTTTATCATTCTGGAAGCCCATGTGGGCCTGCAGGAGGGAGGCGGTCGGCTTGTCTCCATAGTCGGCCTCCCTTGGGCTGCCCTGCTCTGCTGCTAGAGCCGCCCTTCTGAAACGTGCATGCCGGACTCGGTCACTCTCTGGCCAGCGGCTCCTCACCAGTTCTCCTGGTTCGAGTCCACAGCCTCCTTGATCTGACCCCACCTGTTCTTCAGCAGTGGCCCCAGGTCCCTTTCCTCCCACCCCACCTGCGTGGGCCCCAGACCCTACATGCCAACCACAGCAGAGGACGTCCCCATCACCACTCCTCTCACCCCTGCGCCTTCGGTATGCCAGCTAGGGAGTCCAGCCCCAGCTGATCCACCCGGGAAATGCTGCCGATCAGGCTCATGTTTGCATCATGTCAGCGGAGTGTTTTGAGCACGGGAAGAACGGGAGTTGGGTGGAGACCAAGAGGGAGGGTGAGCTAAGTAGCTTGCGTGGGCGTATCTAGTTCTGTCTCAGCGCATGATAAAGTGCTTCCGAGAGCCACCACTTGTCACTGGCCCTGTGCACATGGCTCCCCAAGAAACTAGATGGAGAGGGAAGTGATAACTCAGCAGGATCCGCTCACCCTGGGCCTGGGAGTTTGACATCCATTGCTGCTAGACATGGTCCCCCTACCCCACATAAAATGCCCCCGTCATCTCCCCTCTGGCAAAATTGCAAGTCACTCTTCAAGACTGAGAATTGTCTGTCCTAGGTATTCTTCCATTTTTTGTATCATTACAGAACTATTTCCTGGTCATGGTTAGCCAGCCCTGTTTCCCAGCCTCCTTTGCAGCCAGATGTGGTCACATGACTAAATTCTGGCCAAAAGGATGTGAGTGAAGTGAAATGTATACTTTCCAGGCCATGCCCTTGAAGGCAAGGCCCCTTTTCCTCCCCTTTTCTCTTCTGCTGGCCTGTTGGTCCATGATGGTGGGAGCTGGAGCGGCGTTCCTGAGCACGAGAGGGGAGATGACGGAGCAGGGAGGCATGCTGCACAGCAAGAAATCAACCTCTGCTTCATTGAAGCCACTCTCGTTTTGGGTCTCTGTTACCAGGAGCCAGGGGACTGAATTGGCTCCCTTCACTGGAGAAGTGACGGCCAGACTCCCTGGGGTCAACCCCAAGTCCACCACTGCCCATCAGCATGACTTAGGCAAGTCACTTAACATGCCTGTTATCTCAGGCTCTTCCCCTGGAGCCTGAGTAATACAAATACCCACCACTGGCTGCTGTGAGGATCAAATGAGCTAATTCCTTAGGAAGCATTTAGAACGATGCCTTGCTCAGTTAGCACTTGTGAGTTGGCTGTTACAGTGGCTGAACCTGGAGTCTAAATAATACACAGCCCCCCCTCAGATGGTGTTCTCCCTCTAGAATGTGCTTTGCAGGGCCATGTCCCCTGCATCCAGAGCTGCTCTCGAGACAGTCTCTGAGCTGAGCTGAACAGAAACGAATGTTCTTCGTGGAAGTACAAGGAGAGGTTTAACAAATGCTTTGTCCACAGTAGAAAAAAGGAGTTGAAAGGTGCTTCTGGAACAAGGAGTGCATTTCTTTTAATAAATGTGGCTCTTCAAGGTCACCAAGTTTTATACAGAAATCATTCAGAAGGAAAGAAAGGGTGTCTTTTTCATTATCGACTTCTTGTATTAAACTGTGTGAAATAATCTTCAGTGGGATTATTTGTATACAGTTCCTTCATGTATTTTTTCCTGATAATAAAACAAGAAGAAACAATTAGCAAATACATAGCTTCCTAAATATTATTCTTTTTTTTTTAAATAGGGAAATCCTTTTATCAGGGTGTTATCCCCACGATACAGAATGTATTCCTGCTCTATGAGCTTGAGGGAGCAGGAGAGAGGTGTTTGGCCATGCACTGCAGTTAGACTGAGGATAGTTTAGGATTAAATCTCCATGGTGGGACTGCAAAGGCATTTGTCCATTCCTAGACTCAAAAGTGACCAACCAAGGATGGACCCATCAGTAAACAGACATCTGATTGGAGAAAATAACAGTGGGGCCCTTCTGAGTTCAAGCCAAGAGCTTCATGAATAGATAAATAAGTAAATTATGTGTTTTTTAGTGACAAGTTCACCCCCTGAGCTGCATTTGAAATTTTCTGTGGCTGGAACTCTGAACTACTCTTGGAGTCTGTCTGTAATGAACAGGGGGCTCCAGGCTTGTTCTTGGCAGCCTGCGGGCCCCTCCCAGCAGTGGGCAGCCTGCAGAGTCCGCCCCCACCCCTGAACACGCAGCCTCGTCACAGAAGCCTTCCCACTGAGTGCCCTCCCCGGGGCTCCCTGCGCCCTCCACGCGCTCCATCACCAGCACCCACGTCTGGGACACTGGGGGTTGACAGTGCCCACATCAGGACCGCCCAGGGAGGGGTGTTTACAGGATGAATGCTCAGTGGAATCTCAGTCGCTTGGCCTGTGTAGGGACCCAGCAGTGTCCAAGCACTTAACTTCTGGCTTCTCAGCTCTGAGCCCTTCTCCCCTTTCTGTCTGTATTCCTAACCAGCAGGCTGTGCCATAGCTCAAGCCACTGCTGCTGTTAAAGGGCCTTTGGTGCCATACACACTAGGGCCCTCCGGGTGGGAAAGACTCACCGAGGGTGGGCCAGGGGGCCAGGAAAGCATGGTGCCTGCTCTCCACAGCCCCCAACTGGCCTGATCGGCCTTCTGCTGCCCTCCAGCCCCACGCGCCCCTCCTCCACCCCAACCAGCCCCGCCCAGTCCTCACCGCTGAAGCTGCTCCCTGGCCAGGCGGACGTTGATGCCGTCCAGGGCTCTGCGCATGTCCCGCTGCTGGCGCCACTGATGCCGCTCAAACAGCAGAGTGGCGCGTGCCCCCTGAACCCTCTGCCGGTCCCAGTCCAAGTCTCGCTGGCGCCCTTCTTCCCGAAGCCTCTGGAAGGAAGACAGGTGACTCACCATCTGTCCCCAGATGCAGAGAAGACCCGGGGGATCACCCAGGAAAACCAGCCTCTCGTTTTACAGATGGGGAAACTGAGGCTCAGAGGTGGGTGGGTAGGTGAGCAACATTATGCAGGAAATCAGAGGAGACTCCCCCACCTGCCATCATTCCAGGTGGCCCAGCTGCTTCCCACAAGGGGGGGGGTGTTGGCCGGCCCTCCGAGGCCTGGGGGGACAGCAGAGACTCAGTTCCAACGGCAGCGCCCATATGCAGGGCCCTGGCGTGTCTGGGCCTCCGCACCTGGGACCCTACCAGTGGGGTGCGTGGCTCCACCTGGCTGAACACTGAGATCACCTGGTGGCTTCTAGAATGTACTGATGCCCACCCAGAGCCATGGGCACACGATTTTGGGGGTGCATTTCTGCATCTCCGATCATTCCTCATTGTCTTCCAGACCTATCAATAAAAACCACTGAGCCCTAGAAGAGGAAGTGGATTAATGCAAAGGGAAGAGGTCACTCCTGAAATGTGAGCAGTTTTGTCAGCCACCCTGTGTGTGAGTTACTTTGTCAGCTCACCTTCTGCAGACGAAAAAGAAAGCAAAAGCAGGGGGCTGGGCCTGAGGAAGAGCACCCCTTCTTCCCTTCTGGGGGTCTTAGGTCAGGGCTTTTTCTCACCAGATGTAGGGATAGAGTGCCCAGTGGCCCTGCAGGCCTGGGTCAGCTTGCAGCCACCAGGTGCAGATGGGCTGGCAGAGGCTCCAGCCCCTTGCCCGGGGACCGAAAGGCAGGCTGGTGCCTGGCTTCACCACCCGCAGGGCAAGTCACTTCGCCCCTCTGAACATCAGTTTTCTCCCCTGTAAAATGAAGCTTTCTTCCGTCAAGAATACAGAATGACATGGGATGACTGAAAGAGACACCCTAACTATTCTTTGCATGATCTCAATTTTCTAAATTATCTCCATGCATAGAAGAGGAGACAGGAGGAAAAGACATTAAAAGGCATGTTGGGGGGAAGAGACGGACATCTTTCTGAGTGATCAGACTTAATGCGGGTTTTCTCCCCTTTGTGCTTTTCTGTCTTCTTAATTTTATAGAAAGATTAGAAGTCAGACAAAAGTGCTTTCAGAACAGATGGCCGACCTTGCCTGCAGACAGGCTGGACTGCAGGAGTGAGGATGGAGCAGGGCCTCACGAGGGCACCAACATTCCTGCCGCCTGACCCCAAGCTCAGGGCACTTCCCACCTTGCCCCACTTCCCTGCCCTTGGCCCCTAAGCCCCTGCAGCCTGTCTCAGAGGGGCTGTTTCCCTCCCACACACTTGACCCTCTGGCCGGGAGGTGAGCTATCCCACCTGCTCCTCATTTCCTGGGCCAGGCCATGGCCCCCACCCTGCACCTGCCTCTTGGAAGCTCCTGCTGACCACGGCACCCACCACCCCACCCGAGATGGTCATCTGCTAACCCTTCACTGGTTTGAGAACTTCCCCAAATTCCCTTCCTGCCATAATTCTGAGTGATCTCAGCATATATGACCCCCCACTGGCTTCCCCATGATCTCCCCTCCTTTCCATAGATCTGGTGCTGACCTGCCAGCTGCCACACTGTGGGCACACCCCACCCGCGGTCCCCAAGCCCCAGCAGGCATCGGAACCCCTGAGGGGCTGGCCAGGCCACAAACACTGGGCCTCGCCTCAGGGTTTTTGGTTCAGGAGGTCTGTGGTGGGGCCTGAGAATCTGCATCTCTCTCTAGGAGACTGCCTCTACCCTGGCCTCATTACCAGTAATGCCCCCTGCCCTGGTCTCACCTTCAAGTGTCCCATTCACCACCATTCTGGCCTCTTCAGCTCTTTCTCCAGTTCTCTGATTCTAACAGTTGTTCACCCCTGTAACCTCCAGTCTGCTGACCACACACTTTTCCACTGGCCCTGGCCTCTCACTAAGTCAGACGTGCTGAGCAAGCCCTGCCATGGTGAATCCTAGCTCTTCCCGTACAGCTGCGCACCTGACTGTGCTCACTGGGGCATGTCAAGCCTCCAGGGGACACTTGGCGCTGCCAGGCCATCCTGCCCCTTCCCCTAGGCCATGCCTTCCCAGCTCTCCGAGATGACCTTCAGCGCCTTGTTCTCTGTCCTCAAATCCCCTACTCAGCCCCCTTACCCTCAGCTGCTGGTCTGCCTTCCTGTTTCACCAGGAAATAGGGGCTCCAGAAGAGAAGCCCACAAGCTGCCGGGGGACACACCGCCACCCCTGTGGTCGCAGGTTGTCAGTCTAGCCACCCACCACGCCAGGCCTCATCTAGGGCTCCGAGTCCCCTGCTCTCCTGCCACGCGGGACACGGCTCCAGCAAGCCTCTCCTGGGGCGCCAGTCTCCCCTCTCCTGCTTCCCTCTCATGGGATGGTAAGTATGCCGCTACTTATCAGAGACAAACAATCTTCCCAACTTCATGTCCCCACTGGGCACCACCTGTTTCTCTGCACCCCTTACCGCAAAGTGCTCAGAGTTCTTTGCATTTGCTTCTCCACTTCCTTCCTGCCAGCTTCTCTCCCAAGCCCACCGGCTGTGGCCACTCCCCTCCACCAAGGGTGATCCCGCAGAGGCCCCAGTGAGCACCCAGTCGGGAGGCCCACTGCAGCATCTGGCGCGGGTTCCCTCTCTCCTTCCCAAGTCCTTCCCCTCACTGGGCCTCCACCGTGAGCATCCCTGTTACCTCCTGGGCTGCCCCTTGCCACCCCTTTGCTCTTCATAAATGGCGAGGGAGGAGGTCCCGTGACTCAGTCCTACACTCTTGCTCTCTGTTCCCCCTTCCTCTGTGGTCTCATCCAGGGTCATGCTTTCAGTACTCTGTGTGGCCACGGCTACATTTATGTCTCCAGCCCAGGACGTGTTCTGAACTCCAGACTATATCTAGCTGCCTACTGGGCTTTACTTGGGAGTTATGGCAGAAAATACTACTTCCCTGCAACCCAGCAGGTATTTTTCTTTCTTCCTTAAAAAGAATCACCAGCACTTCACTGCCTAGAATAAACACTACATTTCCCAGCCTTCTTTACAATTAGGGGCAACCTTGTGCCTAAGTGTTGTCCAGTGGAATGCAAGTAGAAGTGTCTTGTGAAACTTCTAGGAAATGTCCTTAGAGTGTTTTGCCTCATTCTTCTGGCTAGCTGGAATATGCACGTGATGGTGGAGCTCAGGCAGCTATATTGTACTAAAAGGTGGGAGCCACACCCTGAGGATGGCAGAACATCAGTGAAGGACCATGGAGCTGCCATACCAGACCTGGACTGTTTTCCTAAGGATCAGTCTATACACTAGATAGAAAATTCTGTTTTGTTAAAGTGCTGTTATTTGGGGGTTTCTGACATGTTCAGGCATATGAAATCCTAACAGATATAGATATCTAATGGACACTGCATACTTAACATGCTCAAAATTGCACTGGTGATTTCCACTCCCCAACCAACATGCTTTTCCCACCATCTCCCCATCTCTGTAGATGCCAACTCCATCCTTCTGGCTGCTCACACCAGAAAGCCTGGAGTAATCCTTAATTTCTTGTCTCTCATATGCCACACCCAACACTTGAATCAATCCTGTTGGCTCTGCCTTCAGAATAGATCCAGAATCTGACCACTTCTCAGCACGGCCACTGCAAGCCTTGGACTGAGCCAACGTCACCTCCCAACTCCACCCCTGCACAGCCTCCCTAATGCTCTCCCCTAGACCCCCCCAGAGGCCATCCTCTCCCAGCAGCGAGGCTGATCCTGATGCAGGCAGATCACAGCACCCCTCTGCCCAAAACCCTCCAGGGCATCCTTCTCCATCACAGAAAAGGCCGAAGTCTCCCTGGCGGCCTGCTAGGACCTCCGACTCTCGGAATCCCCCTGCCCCTCCCCTCACTCCACTCCAGCCTTGCGGCCCCTCACTCTTCTCTGAACAGGCCCAGATGCCCCTGCATTGGGGCCTCTGCCTTGCAGCTCACCCTGTGTGGCCCTCCTTTTCCCAGGTACTTTTAGGGCTTTCTCCCTTTCCTGCCACAGATCTTTGTTGCAGTGTCACCTCTGTCCCCTGACACCTTCCTCATGCCCAGCATGTGCCATCCGTTGACCCAGCCTGTCTTCCTCCTGAGCCACACTGTACACATGTGGGGTTACTAGGCTGTTGTCGTTAAGCCCCCCATCCCCCCACCCCAGAACATAAACTCCTGAGGCCGAGTGTGACAGTGACCATGGCTACAGGCACGCGGGCACGGCGGCACGTGGCACTCAGGGGCGCCTGTGGGCTCTGTGAGTGGGGAGGGCAGGCACCAGCTTCTCCTGGACTTGCTGCTTCTGAACCGTGCGGATCTGCTCCAGCTGCCCCTGGCTCATGCCCTTCCAGCGGTCAGGGACTACGCGGTGGGGCCCGAAGGAGCTGGCTGCCTGCTGCGGGTTCTCAGAGAGCAGGTCCCCACGCAGCAGGTCGGAGATCTCCGCCAGGTTGTCCTCTTGTTCTTGCTTCTTCTGTTGAATCTTCCTTTCGGCTGACTCTGAGGCCTATTCAGGGAGAGACATTAAGGAAGATGCTTCAAGCGACCCTGGGGGACTGAGGCACAGGCCAGCAAATCACACGGGGGCCTTTGAAGGAAGAGTGTGCTGAAGGGCCCTGGGGAGGGTCAGGGGGTGGGGTAGGCCTGTCGCGCTCCGTCCCCTGCTGCCTGCATGACGCTGGGCATGCGGGCTGGGCTGAGGGCATCCCTACCCATCAGCTGTGTGCCTAAAACCTGCAGGGCTTTGTCTGCTCTGATTTGCCCGAGCAGGGAGCTGTCTTCCTAGGTTAGGTGCCATCTCCCACCAGCATGGTCTCCCCCACCCCTGGGCAGGGCTCTGCGGCCCTGTCTGTAGCCCTGGTCACCCCTGGGTGGCTGCAGGCCACACAGCACACTCAACAGAGTGATTCACAACAGTGGTGACTTAAAGGGTGAAAGTGCACTGCTGCCCCTCAGCTCCCAATGCACAGCAGCCACAGGCTCCGGGTAGAAGCAGATTCCTGGTCGAATCCCTGCCTAAGTGAGGGCGCTAAGTGGAGGGAGCAGGCCCCGGCTGTGTGGCCTGGAGCAAGTCGCCTCCCCTCTCTGGGCTGCAGTCATCGCTGTAAAGTTAGAAGGTGGATTAAGAGACATTTCTCACTGTTATCAGTTCTCTTTAGTGAGGAACCGACAGTTCTTTGCAAGGTGTTTGGCACATGGCAGGTGCTCGTGAGGTGGCCAGCTCAACTGCGTCGCAGAGGCACAGGCCGTGCAGCTGGACAGGCCTGGGTTCACATGCTGGGCTGGCCACTTAGTACTTGGGTGTCCCTAAGAAAGTCAGCTGCCCTCTGAGCCTGTTGCCCTACCAATTAATCATGCCCTGTGGTAGGGCTGTTGAACAAAGTAACTAATTAGAGCAGCTAACTAATTGTCACTGGGATTAAAAATAATGGTATCACTGAGTCTGGATAATGTGCCAGATGGTCCAACATGTTACATGTATCACCTGGTTTAGTCCCATAACAACTTTACAAGCGAGCATGATAGCCATTCCTGCTGGCCCCTAAATATTTCCAGGGCTCTTTCTGGGCATGTGGCAGAATCATACTCCCCTGCTGCTTTGCATGAGCAGGGCCCCGGGGCCCACTTGGCCAATGAAACGTGAGCAGAGATGATTCTGGGAGGTGCAGAGATCAGCCACAGTCCCTCTCTGCTGTGCTGCTGAAGTCCTCCAGCCAGCAGCCGCTCTGTCCCAGCACCTGGGCTCTGGGGTGCTGAGCCCCTCGGCCAACCCACGACCGACATGGAGCATCAACTTTGTGTTTTGAGCCACTGAGGTTTGGGAGGTGTTAGCTCATTCTGACTGCATGGGTGGGTGTTATCCCACCCTACAGATGGTAAAACTGAGGCACTTAAGGGGCTGTTCCAAGGCTGCTGGCAAGAGCCCAGTCTTGTATGCACGCAGCTGGGCTCCGGATCCTGCACACTAAGCCCCGACCGCACAATGCCTCTCTACTGAAACGAGCACCTGAGACCTGGAGGCTCCCCAGTGTGCGCCTGCCCTGCTGACCCAGATGGCCTGCTTGGCGTTTGCTCTTGAGGACAGTTATCTAGAACCCTAGTATTAATGTCCCAGGCTAATGAACAAGGCCTATTTCTAGTCAGGAACAGAGCTGCAGAAGCCAAATGTGGCTTTCCCTGGTGCAGGGGCATTTATGATGGCACTGACTCGCAGTGTCCATGCCAGGAGTAGGGGCACCTGACAGTGCCAGCACATTGTAGGTGCTCACTCAAAATTTTATGGGACAAGTGAATATATTGATGAGTGTAGCAACCCAGTTCCCCAAAAACACACCTGTGCCTAACAGGAGGGCTCTGTAAATATCTGCTGACTTGACAGATGAAAGAGTGGATGGATGGATGGATGGATGGATGGATGGATGGATGGATGGATGGATAGATGGATGAACAGCCAGTAGCAGACTATGAATCAGGAGCTCTGCCTGCCATTAATTCTCTGGGGGGCCTGAAGCAAATAGCCTCTGCTCTAGGGCATCCTCTGCAAAGTGCAGGGCCAGGGCCAGATCTCTAAACCCTCCTGCAGCCTGCTGTGGGTGGCCTGGCCTCCAGGTGCCACCATCTGCCCTTTGATCCCCTCATCTCTGGAAGTTAGCCCGCCTAACTCCTCTCCTCAGCTGTTGAAAACCACCATTCTCTCTGGCCCCTGGTCCATCCTCTCTAGAAGTTCTGATCACATAGCCCCAGCAGTAGAACGTTTTTAAGCTAGTCTCCAGTATATTTTGTTCGCAATATGGTACTATTAGACTGTACAATTAGCATATACTTCATAATACACCCACACCCACATACAGGAGTTTACAACTATGTGGTTAAAAATAAATATGAAGCAGAGTTCCAGTATTTTCTTCCTGCTTGGCAATGGGTCATCTTGCTCACTGTGCTTCGCAGACCATAGTTCTGGTCAACCAGCTAATCTGATAATGAATCCAGGCCCAGCCCCGACCCCACCCAGGAAATATGATGGCACTTGAGAAGAAAATCAGGAGGGGCTCTAATACACAAAAGGAATAGAGAACCTGAAGCAACTTCATCACAGGGTCTGGGTGGGGAAGCATTTTGGTGAGGAAGGTGGGCAGAGGTTGGAGAGGGGGCGCTGTCAGGAGACCCCCGGAGGAGGCGCTAACCATTATCACAGTAACTGCCCCCACTGACGAGCGCCCGCGGACCTGTCCTTGGTGTGGAGGAACTCTTGACAGGTGGGAAAGAAGAACTGAAACCAGGACCGGGCGCAGAGCAGTGCTAGTGGTACCTGCCTAGGTGGATGTCACTGTCCTTGTTTTAAGAAGAATCTGAGGTTGAGAAAGGTGAACTGACCCCTCAGCCTGCACGGCTGGCTTTGTCAGTCTTCACACCCAGATTCAGTCAGGAGTAGGGCCTGGGTGTCACTCACCCCAGAACTGGGCAGGCCCTGGTAGGGCTCCGTTGGGGTTCATGGTGTGATGCAGTGAATGGGCTGAGCCTGGGGCCAAGGAGGTGGGGGCGCCCCGGGGGAGCCGCTATGAGCTTTCCTCCCTTCAGGCAGGGCCCGGGGCCTACCTGGCTCTTGTTGAATTCTTTCACAGACGCACAAACTGCCCTTCTGGTAGCACTTTCCAGAGTTTGTAAATGCTTAGCTCTTTCATCAAACTGCAGCCTCGTCTTCCCGTAGAGTTCCTCTGAAAGGAAGCAAGGCGTGGTCAGACCTCGCGTGCCCACCCAGAGCTCCTTCCCAGGCATGCACTGCGCCCCACGGAGTGTCCATTCACACATCCACTTATCACGCCCTCATCCACAGAGTAGGGGTGCCTCAGGAGGCCGCTGGGAGACTTAGTTAATTCAAGTAAAGCTCTTCGATCGGTGCCCCGCCCCACCGGTCAGTGATCACTACCATGGACTGGTAATGTCTGCTGGGGGCCTGGGAAGGGAACACAGTGGGTTCCTTGCCATCTGTGATCTATCAGAGCCTGCTACATCCTTACAGTGAGGATGGGCTGGTGGGAGGCCAGACAAAGCTCTGCCCTGGGAACCAGACGGGGTTCCCCAGAGGGGGTGTCAGGTAAGATATTCATGGAGTGGCAATAGGACTTTACCAAGCCAACAAGGAGGAGGGGGAGAAGCAGAAGGGGTCCAAGTGGAGCGTGCAAGCAGCAGACCATAAAGAGCTGGAGTTAGAGCAGCTCCTGTCCTGGCTCTGTTAGCCTGAACTATTGTTGTGCCCAAAGTCACGAATCCCAGAAGACCACCAAGGAGCCAACACCAATGCAAAAGCAAAGAGCCTTTATTCAAGCTAGCTCGAGCTCAATCTCTCATCTACACCAACGCAGTGGCAAGATGCCAGAGAAAGAGAGCGCATTTTCCCCAGAACAAAGGTTTTATGGGTTTCTAGGGCAGTTTGGTGGTGGTGGGGGGGTGATGGCCGTGGCCCTGGCTGATTGGCTGGGCCTGGGGGTAGTTAGGGGGTGATGAGTCGTGGCTTTGGTCAGTTGGCAGGGTCCAGGGGTGGTGGGTGTTCTTGCTGACTGGAGGGGAGAGAGGGACTAAGCTCCGATTGGGTGAAATAGGATCCAGGTCCCGATTGGCTGAAATAGGGTCCAGGACCGAATTGGCTGAAATAGAATCTGGGAGCTTGCCCTTTCACTATTACCCAACCTTTCTGAGCCTTCGGCCCTCACTGGTGAGGCGGGACAACCACCTTGCAGGGTTGTTACATTTTTTGAAACGTCATTGATCAGAAGGTTCTGCATACAGTGTGCACTGCAGTCCGCTCAATATCTCCACAAGCAAAGACGTCGCTCTGTAGCACTGAGTTTCTACCCCTGTTCCCTTCAGCTGGGTCTCTTACCTTTGTTCAACTCGTCAGTTAACACGGAGCAATCAAGGCCACACACTTGGCTGGGAACGTGGTATACACTTGTGTGTAAACATAAAGGGCTTTTCCCATCCTCCTGGAACTATTGCCTGGAGGTGAGGGGTAATAAACACGTGACCCCAAAACAGACATGAATACAAACTGGGACGGTGCTTTAGAGAGAAGGGATGCTGAGAGAAGGTGTGGGAAATACCTGACTTAGGTAGCTGGAGGGCAGGGGTAAGAGAGCATCTCCAGGATGAAGCAACATTGAAGCTGAGACCTGAGGGACGGAAGGGGCTGGGTGCACAGCAGGTACAACGCGGCTGACATGGAGGAGGGGCAGTCAGGACAAACAAGTGAAAGAAAGCCAGGCTGGCTGGAGCATAGCGAGCCGCGGGCACAAGGTGACGGTGGAGGGCTGAGCAGCGGCCCCAGCATGCGGGGCCCTGCTTGTTGGCTGTGAGAGCATTTTGCATTTTATTCCATATGTAAAGGGAAGCCAAAGAGGGTTTTAAGCTCTGATTGTGGGGGTGACATTGCTCAACTTGACCTTGTGTAAAAAGTAGCACTCTGATTGCTGTGTTGAGGATGGTCCGGGAGAGGGGCAGAAAGTAGAAAGCCCTTTGTGGTCTGCCCAGGGGAGAAGAGGTGGCAGCTTGCATTGCAGTGGTGACAGCAGGGATGGAAGGAGTGGCTCGTTCAAAATATATTCAGAGGAGACAGAAGGAACAGGAGTTGAGGGTGGCCGCGAGACAAGGGTGGGTCAGGGATGACTCCCAGGTTTCTGGCTTGATAGGGAAGGAGGTGTCACTGAGCGTGGGGAGAGAGGGGCAGATCCAGAGAGAAATTCAGGGCTACTTTCCCCTTTGTTGTGAGATGTCCAGGAAGCAGTCCAGGGCTTAGACAAAGGTTCCCAGCCAGAGATGGAAACGTGGAGCACCTGGGAGGTGGACAAGAGTTTTTAAAGCCCTATGAGTGGATTATTTCAATAAGTATTTCTCTATGTGCCAGGACCTAAGGATAAGGCAGTGAATAAAACATAAAATCTGCCTTCATTGAGCTTAGGGTAGAATACTGGGGAGAGGGCTGTCAAATACATAAGCACACACTGTCTCTGTGATCAGTGCTACGGAGAAGGAGAGAGCTAGGAAAGGGCTGGAGCAGGTGGGGTCCGGGAGGGTGCAGGGCGGCGTCTACAGCAGCGGTCAGGGGAGGCCTCGCTGGTAAGCTGCAGAAGTGAGCGGGACACACTCATGTTCTAGGAAGATCGAGGAAGCCAGCGCAGCCGGGACGGAATGATTGAATGAGCAGAAGGACAGGAGGAATGAATGAAGGGCAGCGTAGTAGCAGATAGGTCCACACAGTGAAGGCCTGTTTGGACTTGAAATGAATCTGAGTTTTATTCTGAGTGATATGAGAAGCTATTGGAAGGTTTTGAACAAAAGATGGAGCTTAACTTTTAGCAGGACCATGATGGCTGCCGGGTTGAGAGGAGCTTGCAGAGGACAAGGGCAGAAGCAGGGAGGCCAGTTAGAGGCCTTTGCCATAACCCAGCCGGGATGTTGGCCACTTAGAGCGGAGAGGTAACGGTGGCGGTGACAGGTGGTTGAAATGGACGTGATTCGCTGCTGGCCTGGAGGCGGCGTTTGAGGGAAGGAAGGCGTAGAGATGACCTGGGGCCTGGGCCTGGCAGCTGGGGGAGAAGGGCCGCCATGAGGGAGGTGGAAGGTCGGGTTTGGGGGGAAGAAGCAGAGTGTCTCCCTGGGCTTGTACTGACTTGATGTGTTGTTAGAAATGTAAGAGCAGAGAGAAGTCTGGAAGCAACTGGATTTATATGTCTGGATACAAGGAAGAGTCCAGGCTGGAGACACAGATTTGGGAAATGATGCCTATAGGTGATACCTAAATCCATGAGACTAGCCGCAGTCACAGGGGTGAGCGTCGTGGAGAGAGGAGAGGTCAGAGAGCACTGCCAGCAACACCACCAGAGGGTGGGAGGACAGGGAGAAAACGGGCAACAGGGGATGCACTGCGGGCAGCGGCCCGGCCTGAGCCCCTGTGCTCCGGCTGTGGCTGGAGCTCCGACATAGCGCCTGCTCAGAGGGGACTCCTGCCCGAACATGCCTGACTCGAGATGTCCAGGTCCTGGCTGCAGGCTCTAATGTCTCTTTGCCCACACGGCCAAAGTAACACATTGGTGGGACTTAACAGACAAAATGAAACACGAAAAGAAAGGGTTGCTTTGCTGAAGAAAGTACTGAGAACAATCTGTCTGTCTTGTTTCATTACCTGCACAATTTTGGTCAGCACTGGTGTTCTTCCATTCCCTTTGCTGTTGCAAGGACCATTCTCTGTTTTGTTCCTGTTGGAATTTTTTCCTCTTATAGAAGTTTAAGTCCTCTCCCATGAATTTCTGCATTCCTGATACTGTATTCCGAACATCAGAATCTGACTGGCGAGCTGGAACATCTTTCTTAAGTGCTAGGGGGTCAGATAGGTCAAATTCACGGCGAGTTTCTGGCTTCTGAAAGCTCTGCTGGAAGTCATTGATGGCTTTACAGAGGTTTTTCCTGTCTCTCTTTTCCCGGTCTTCTAATATGCATGTTATTTTGTCATTTTGCCTCATTTCAGCAGCTAGAAGACACATAACATATCCATAAGCTTAAGATTCAGAGGACAAAAAAATTTTGAATGCACTTTAAAAATAACTTTTAGTGTTTCTAAAAGCAATCCAACCCTCCAAAAAGGTAACACAACCATTATAGGACTAGTATCCTGAATATACAAAGAGTACCTACAAATCAATTTAAAAAACCGAACAACCCAACCAAAATATGGGCAAAGGAGAAGAATAGGCAGTCACTGTAAAGAAAGTGGAATGATCAATAAACTTGTGAAAAGATGATCAACCTTACAAGATGGGAAGCATCTAATGAACTGGCAAAATATTTAAAATGCTATAATAGCATGTATTAGTAAGGATGCAGGGAGACAAGGGTTCTCATTCACTATTTGTGGGAGTGTAACTTGGTACACTTATAACTTTGGAAAGCAATTTGCCAATATCTTACAAAACTGAAAACCTGCATACCCTATAGCCTATCAATTCCATCTCTAGGTATCTCACTCATGCCACAAGGGAACATATGCATGGATAGTCAGTCATTGCAGCATCATTTGAAATTATAAAAAACACTGGAAAAAAATCTAAACCAGCCATCGGTAGGGGAATGGATAAACAAATTGTGGTTAATTCATATAATAAAACATCATAAAATAATTAAAATGAAGGTCCTATATGTAGATTGCTAGTTTTCAAAATGTAATATTGAATAAAAAAAGTTGTAAAAGGATTCATTCAATGTGATACCATTTGTGTAAAATTTTAAAACACACAAAAAACAATTTTATATTGTCATGGATACATATATACACAGTAGAAGTACAAAAAACATGCATAGGAATGATGCACATTTTCAAGATGGAGAAAGAGGGAGTTGGTGAGGTGGAGGAGAGGTTTATATATATATATTAAATGCTATATATATATGTGTGTGTGTGTGTGTGTGTGTGTGTGTGTATGCATATGGAGTGGATATATATGGATACACACACACATATATATAGCATTTAACTCTCAAAAAGCAATCTTAAAATAAGATATCTAAAGCCAATTTGGCAAAATCTTAACATCTAATCTGGTGGTAGGTACATATGTGCCTGTCATATTGCTTTTGTAAGTTTGAATTTTTTTTAAACTAAAAGTAAAAAAGGTAAAACGTTTAGAAAATATAGAACAATATAAAGAAGATAAACATCACCTGTAATTCCATCATGCCAATATTATCACTGCTAACATTTCAGTATATTTCCTTTCCATCTTTTTCTAAGCATATTTTTAATATATTTTAAAACTTTATAAACTCCATCTTTTTCTAAGCATATTTTTAAATATATTTTAAAACTTTATAAACATTACATATACAATTTTGTGGCCTGCTTTTTATCTTTTGAAAATCCTCATGGTGCTTTTAGAAATAAGTTGAAATTGTTGCACATGATGTAGGAAAGTGAATTCTGCTTGACATTTTTATGTAAGAACTGAAACACTATTATTTAAACCATATCTAGCTCTGAGTCGGTTCATGTGTATAAACTGGTAGTGAGTGCATGTTATCTAGTGTAAATAG